AGCTGACCTGGAACTCGCTATGTAGACCAGGCTGGCCTCGAACTCACAGAGATCCACCTGCCTATGCCTCCCAAGTGCTGGGGTTAAAGGCGTGCACCACCACGCCTGGCTAAGATTTATATTATTTTTAATTATGTGTATGTGAGTGTTTGGGGATGGGGGCAACATGTGCATGTGAGTGCAGGTGTCCACAGAGGTCAGAGGCATTAGATCCTCTTGGAGCTGGAGTTATATGTAGGTGTAACCCTCCCATCATGGATTCTGGGAACTAAACTTAGGTCTTCTGAAAGAATAGCAAGCACTCTTAACCAGAGTCATCTCTCCACCCCTTTATTTTATCTTTTGAGGCAGGTCTTGCTATATAGTTTTGGCTGGGCTGGTACTCCGCAGGGTGGCTTCAAAATGTGGCTGTCCTCCTGCCTCACCCTCCCATTTGCTGGGGTTACATGTATGTGCCACCACACTTTTGACAGAGAAGCCCCTGCTCCCCCATCCCCCCCACCCCGTTTAAATTGTAGTAATTTAAGATTTATAGGTAAGCTTTGAAATCAATGATTAGAACAAATTCTAAGTTGTAGAAATTCCCCAACTTCCTCTAAATGTTAGCATTTTATGAAATTTGCTTTTTCCTTCTCTACAAACATGTTTATATTTCTGTCTATAACATGTTTGGAAAGTTGCGGGTATGCAGCTTTCCTTCTGAACGCTTCAGTGAGTGTTCCACAGAATTGTGCAGTTAGCAAAGTGAGGAAATGCACCTCCATCTCCACTAACCTATAATCTGTAGACATTTTCATTTCACTGGCAGTGTTCTTTATAGCAACATACAAAAAGTATTTTGCTCCAGGACCTAATCCAGGATCACATGTTACTGTTAGTTGTCAAATCTCCTAAGTCTCCTCTAATCTTGAGCACTTTGAAGGCCTATTTTTCATGACTTTGATAGTTTTAGAGAACAGAGCAGAGTTTTTTGTTTGTTTCTAGGGGTAGGGGTTTGGTTTGGTTTTGTTCTTTGGAGACAGGGTCTCAGGTATCCCAGGCTGTCCTCAAACTCTATGTAGCAGCTGAGGATGACGTTGAACCTCTGATCTTTCTGCTCTAACTCCACAGTGCTGGGATCACAGGTCTACACAAGTATGCCCAGTTGATGCAGTGCTGGGGAATCAAACCTAACATGTACTCTACCAACTGAGCTATATCCTTAGCCCTTGGTACTTTTTAGTTTTGTTGTTTTAATTAATTTTGTAAAGTTTTCTTCATGATTAGATTTTGTTTTGCTCTTTGGCATGAAAATAGGATCCTTCTTGGTGTTAGTCAGGAGGCAGTGGTATCACCTGGCCCCTCACTGGTGGTGTTCACGTCTACTGATTGTTCCCCCTTTGACACTAATGATAGTTTGGTGGAGATCCTCTGAGACCAAGTAGAAGGTTTCTCTTAATACTTTCACCTACAAGTTTGAGTACCTACCCACAGCTTTTGCTGAGGATATAAGCACCATAGTTTTTGTTTTTGTTTTTTTAATTTTTAATTGAATTTTTTTTGTATTTCATACAGAAAATCGTCTTTATTTATACTCCCTTCCCCTTTGGCACCCTCCCATATCTCCCCCTACTGGAGTTCATACATTCTGTTATTTGTGTTAAGGCCTGTCATGTAAAGTTAGTATCCCCAGATGTCCCTCAGTGCAAGTTCATCCACTGGGATCTAGTCAGCTTATGTAAAGTCCCTCTTTTGAAGATCAGCTGGTGCTGGGCATGGTAGCACACGTACCTTTAGTCCCAGCACTTGAGAGGCAGAGGCAAGCAGATCTCTGTGAGTTCCAGGCCAGCTGGGGCTACAGGAAGACCCTGTCTCAAAAAGTCCAAAGGGGAAAAATAAATGAAGATCAGCTTTTCCTCACCCAGCAGTAATCAGCTGCCAATAATTCTTCAACTAAGATTGGGGCCTGCTGCTCATTTCCACAGTTCTGTGCTGGGTTTTTGTCTGCTTAAGTTTGCATGGGTCCTGTGCATGTTGACACCATTGCTGTAAGTTTGTATGAGAAGTGTCCTAGGAGCCTATGGAACTATTTCCATATGGTCATGCACCTCCTCCCTGGCTCTTACAATTTTTCTACCCCACCTTCCCCAATGGTCCCCGAGTCCTGGGTGGGTGGATTTTGATATAGGAGTCCTGTCCAAGGACCCACACTCTGTAGATTCTTATTTTCTGTTTTGGCCATTTGTGACCTTTTGTGTTCCTGGCCCTCTGTTGCAGGAAGCTTCATTGATGAGACTTAAAAGATGCATTAGTGTTCTCTTCATCCCTTGTTCTATCCCTTGTTCTACACCTCTTGGTGTAGAGGTTGCATTGTAGATGTGCCACTTAGACTTGGGTAGTTCACAGACAATCTCTGTGTGTGACCAGTTGTGGAACTCTGATTATCTCTGTCTCTTAAAAAAGAAGCTTCTTTGATGGATGGTGACTAGTTTACTTGTCTATAAATTTAAGGATCCATATTTTGTACATAGCAAGAAATTAATTTGTCTAGGGATGTGGCAGCCTTGGAGTTTTCTCTAAGATCTGTAACCTCTCCAGCTATGTGTATTTGGCTAGGTTTATATTACCACACACGAATTTCCTCCCATTGTGTAGGCTTTAAGTCCAGGTGTGTAGTTGTTGATTACCTCCAAAATAAAAGTGCCACATCTGCATCAATATCGTTTGCTGTGCTGGTCATTCATCTGGTATTTAGGCCTTGAAGCTGGGGTTGGACCATCGATTGATGTTCTCCCTTAGCAGCTTGCATAGTGCTCTCCAAAGGTATGAGAGCTAGCCTTCAGGGGAGGTGGCTTCCAGGTCAGTTCCAGCTCCGATGCTCCAAATCCTGAGTCCAAATTATGTTCTGTCTTCAGCAATAGG